ATGTCTAACTGCTTTCACTTGCAGAGATGGAGCTCCCACTCAATTCCATACTTTTCTTGGAATAACAAAACTTTCCAGTCATTTAAGTAGTCAACTTCTTCCACTTCTTGAATGCACAGGACTTTCACTCCCAGCTTTGAAGTTAATTTTTGCTAGACAAAAGAAGCTCCTTCTCGGGTCTCACTACTCTCTTCTTACTCTCTCTATCCTTGACCTGGTGTCTAGACCGTCAGTAGGAACACTATGACTCAGAGCTTCCCAGGCTCCTAAACAGTGTCTGTAGTCACTACCCCAGGACCAGCTGTCATCTCTGGTCTTCGATCCTGCCTTGGGTAAAATGTCACTGACATGTTTACGTCATTAGACAATCAATTGCTCAGATAACTAGTTATCTAATGGGGTTGCTCATCATATGTTGAGAACATGTGGTTACCCATGTACTTATTAACATAATCGGATCTTAGCTCTGTAGTTTCCATCCCACAGAAGCCTCTTAAGATTTACCATGAATTAGAAGGCATGATCTGGACTCCAGATGTAGCTCAGTGGCAGATTGATTGCCTAGGATGTGTGAGGCCCAGGGTTTGACCCCCAGAACCACACACCACATACCTTAAAGTCAGTGCTAAAGGGAGAAATTTTTATCCACAGCATCTACTGTTCATAATTGCAGCTATTCAAATACTTGATAGACATTTAAGGCAATTGTAATCCAAGCCTGTGCACTATCGAAGAACAAGTAAGCTTTGTATAATTTTAGTCTCCTGTAATAAAATAGTTGATTCATGAGTTTCCATAATGTTAACAATTAATGTATGTCAGTACTTTAGCAGATTATATGATTCACCTTGGAACAGAACACACAGGATTGGCTGTCCTAAGTTAATTTTTAGGCTGTATTAAACATATATCAAGTTGGGAAGTTACCATGACCATCAGTTGAAGGCATGATATGCCACCAGGAAAATTATTTTGGCTTTTTTTGTCATTTTTAACTGGCTGATTACAGAAATATGAAACGTTCAAATCCATAATTTTTCAAAAATATTTACATCCACATCTTTTATACATTAGTATATAACCTCGGGATAGATAAAAGAGCTATTTTTATCTAAGAGAACATCCTTTAACCATTCAACCAGACTATATGGAGTGTTGAACTATGTGTTCAGGACCAATGTTCATCTGAGTGTGCTTTCAAAACTTACCTAACAAAATCAGAAAAGGTGGGGGGGAGAGAAAATGAGATGAGAAATTACTGAGATCATAAGTAAGGTACATACCCAGAGAGCATCCTTAATTTGTTTTATGTTGCCCTAGTAGGTGAAATAGACTAATTGTTCTTGGTACTGTCAGCCAAAAGTAAAATTTAATGGTGCCTTTCCTCCCTCTTTTCTCTAAATCCCAGTGCACAAACACATTCTTACACATCATTCAGCCATGCATGAGGAAAAGACAGCCCCTATTACATGTTTCCTCAGTGTCATTTTGAAGCCTTAAAGTGTTGCCTACATAAGTGTCAGGCCACAGCCCTCCTTGGTGCATCTCAGGAAGTCTAGCAATTACTGAGCCTTCTGTTGGGTCCTACAAAGAGAAAATGTGATTTACTGCAGCCATTCTTTATAGCTCATTCTGGGGCTGTGATTCGACATTCTGGGTGTGATGTCATCAACTCCTTGGGAATATGCCAGGGAAGGTAGGATTTAAAAAAAAAAAAGCCACAACTTGGGTATAAGCTGGGCCCAAACACTAGGGAATAAAAGGCTAAAATCTGCTGGGTAATAAGCAAACTGCTAAGTCCCCTAGAGTCCATCTTAAACACTAGATGAATAAAGATGGTTTTACTAGTGTCCCATTTTATGACATATGCTAAATTTTTAGCAGGTTTCCATGAGGCTTCTATCTCAGGACTTAAAATGGATTCCACCTTGAACTAACGCAAATCTCTATATATAGAATCAATTTTAATCTAAATATACAATAAAAATGTTAATTCATTAAAAGTACACCTTAGTTTATTTAAAAATTATATATAACTTGAGTTGTTATTGGCATGTTTGTTGTCATTTGTTAATAGGTACAAAGAGTGTATTTTCTTACAGGGATCCATAAAAATTGGACAGATGGGTCTTTGTTGTGGGAATATTTAGAATCACTGATTGTAAATTCATAACGGCATCAATGACCAGTTAAACAAGCAGACAGAAATGGACTTAATGTTCTTTCTCTTTCACAAAAAGTAAAATCTAGTTGATTTTTTTTCTCTCTGAAGGTCTCCAAAAGACTATCACAATAAAGGCCTTAGACACTGAGAAGCTGGTCTCATCTCAGGTACACAGAACACATGCTGTGTGCAGCAGCTCACCAACAGGGCAGACTTGCTGAGATAATTCTTCAGGTGGTCACACTTGGGGCAAAATTTCTCCGTGGAGGGGTAGAGAAAATAACATTAAGAGAAAGGACGATGTCTAAGATTCTGATAAGTCTGAATAGAGCTGGGTGGTATAATTTTATATGTAAATTGGATGCCCCCTTAGACAACTATTGTAAAAATTAAGTGAGATCCTATGTGTGAAGGATCTATAGCTACCTTGGAACAGAGGTGTCCTATGTTATTTCCTTTCCTTTTCTCTCCAGATTGTGCCCTAAACCTATGAACATCATTATTAATTATTTTAAGTGCTTTATTTACATCCTAAGATTGTAGTTAAGAAATGTAACCTATGAATGTCAACGGTCATTTAGGAATTTCTTCGTAAGACAGGTGTGAGATCTTCCAGGTGAAGAAGAGAACCATACAGGCATTTCCTTCCATCCTTCTGAGCTTTACCATGTGGCTTCACCAGGCCAATCCTGTTTATGAGGACAAATATTGAACCTGAACCTACAGCAGTTCCTCCAGCATTGTAAAATGGGTCCTTGAAGGAAAATGAAAAGTAGCTTCTGACCAACTAATTAAGAAATACAATCTAGAATCTTTGCACTTTTTTTGTCATTTGAGATGGTATAGATAAGCCTCCATGGGCCACATTTCTTTTGTGAACTGCTGGGCATCTATACATAATTAAATCTGTTTTCTAATCGTGTTGTCTTTTGTTAGTTTTGTTCACATGCCTTAATCATTGACATAGAAAGGTGCAAGAAGAGCTTTTCTCCCTATAAATTCAACTTTAGTTTATGTTATATAGTGAAACCAGTTCAAATACTTTAGCACAAGTAGGAGGCATAAATAATAAAAGTGTATTAAGTGCTATGCACTGAATTAAATTCCAGGCAGCAGTATATTTAATTTTGAACACTGAAAAGAAGCATTACTCTGATAGGGAGACAGAATACGTGTTCAATGCACTTGGACTCTAGGTCAAAGACCAAGAATTCAGAAAATTTTGCTATTTAAAACTTAATTCTTTCATGTTACATACACTACACTTCTTTCCCTGAGGAGTTATTATAGTTTCTATTGTTTGTGACTGATCGTACAGTATTTAAGAGGAAGGGAAAGTACACTTAATTTAAACATGTTAAAAGCTCTGGCTTTACCCACTGCATTTCCTGCTAATGCAAGGAAATTTTTTCTCCCAACAAGTAGTCTCCTTGCCACCTCCATGCCCATTTCCTCCTCCTAGTCCTTAAGTTGAAACATTCAACCTCCCCCTTATCTCCACCCAGCACCCTTTCCCGTTCCTACTTCAACCAAAGCACTATCTTCAAGGATAGGGGAAAGCCCTCTACTTCCTGTATCCTTCCCACTATTCTTCTAACCCTTCCTCAACGTCGTCTTTAACTGGTGTCTACACCACTTAATTTATAAATGTTGTCTGTCTCTGATGACATTCAATATTCCTTACAAGCAGGAGTCATTTTTTGTCCGTTGTCATTCTACACAGAATAGTTTTCTACTATCAAGGCACTTAATGAATCTTTTTTAAAGTTTGGTCACTTATCTAATTCCCATGTGCTTCCAGTGTGTCAGATACTTGTAATAAAACAGTGAAGTTTACATGGTCCTGCCTTGTTCGGGCTCGTGTATGGAGGCTGAAAGCTTGCAGTACTGTTTAGCCAGTGCAGTGTTTATAAAGCGCTGTGGATTAGGATACTGCTAAATAGGGCATTTTCTGTCTAGTTCACAGGTCTCTCTTAGAGCCCTCATCTCTGTTTCCAACCAGCTTCAATAATGTGTTTCCTTCAGCTCCTTGTGAAACACTCTTAATTTCATCACTCTTAACTTTTATGAAATAAATTAATTCTTAAAATATAAGGTTCTTCTCATCACATACTAACTAGAGTTATTTTTATTTACTACTGTCAGAACTCAACATTATGATTCCATGAATGGTTTTATTTCTCTATATGCACCCAATTTGGTGCACGTTGTTCATTGTACACTTGCTATGGAAAACAGGCTCCAGTTTAAAAATTCCTAAATTCAAAGACAGATGGTATATTAATTAATTAACTGGAGAAAAAAAAAAAACGAGTGCTCAGCAGCTGTTTTGCTGCCTTAAAAGCAAATGAGCTTTTAAGCTGGAAAGGATAGAAACTCCATCAAGAGAGAGCTAAGGTGTTAACAGAAGAGGCCACTTAAAAAGGTTAGTGCCTCATATTGGATGACTCAGACTCCAGGGTCCCAAGAGAACTAGCAGGTGTGAACACAGGAAGAATCTGATAACCTCCAGAAAATCTGGCAGAGGGAGAGCTCAACGTGTTACAGAATCTCATATACAACTTTCACCCCAATGTTTATAAATTTTTAATACCTAAAACTGAAGAAAAGAATTAGAATTCCTAAGTATTACAGGCCAGTTAGTTTGACACCAAAAGTCAAGACTTAAAACAGGCAAGATTTGGTGAGGGAAAAGATTGGAGATTTGTAGGAATTAGCTGTTCAATAAGAATCATTCATTCTTCAACTGTAGTCACTTTTGTGCTAGATCAGGGAATGCTCAAGGTCTTTATTTTTAGCAAGGTGTTTAATTAAAATTCTCTCATTATGTCCTTAGGGAGAAGACCTCTGTGTGGACTGACAGAGTCTGAAGTTAAGACAGTGCTGAGTTCAGCCGATTCCTTAATTCAAGCAGCATCTACTGAGGACCAACTACATTTCCAGCCAATATTGTACTTTGCATTTTCAGTATTCTGAATTTAGGTTACAGGTTACCAATCTCATTTTATTGATAAGTGAAAGAGTTTCTGAAGCAAAGCTTGTAAGTGTCAGGACTAGACTCCAAAACTATGATTCAGAAATTAGGGCATTTCTACTAGATGGGCAACCTTCATAGTAAAAGGACTTGTCTTGCATATTATCAGTGACTTGAATTCCTGGTGAATAAATACATCAAATGTGCAGAATTAACATGATGAATATAAGAATCAAGATTAAAGCATGTCTAGGCCAGGTGCGGTGGCTCAAGCCTATAATCCTAACTACTTGGGAGGTGGAGATTGGGTGGATCACAGTTTGAGGAAGGGAAAAAATTAGTGAAACCCCCATCTCAACCAATGGCTGGGTGCACTGGCATGCACTGTCATCCCAGCTATACAAGGAGGTACAAATAAGGAAGGTCAATGTCAAGGCTGGCTTGGGCACAAAGAAAGACTCTGTCTCCCAAACAACCAACACAAAAAGAACTGACAGAGTAGCATAAGTAGTAGAGCATCTGCCTAGCAAGCACGAGGCCCTGAGTTCAAACCCCCAATTCCCCCACAAAAAAAGATGAAAACATAGCTAACAAATTGGAAATTGGAGAGAGACTTAAAGTAGTACATGTTACAAAGGGAAAATGAAGTTCTGATTGAAGAAATGCTCAACTGCACAATTTAAAAATAAAGCCTACCTTGTCAGCAAAGTGGGGGGAGAGAGGTGTGATGTGTTCAGTCAGTTTTGCAGAGTTTATTTGAAGGTGGGAACTCATTGTACTCTTTGAATTAACAGAGTTATTAACAGACTTGTTAACTTCAGTGTTAGACCAAGAATCTTTAGCACAAAGAAGGTTCTTAGGTGAAGAAGGAAACATAAAATACTTACTAAAAATAACTAACACTTACTGACTTTAGGGCACCTATATGTACTTTACAAAGATTATTAATTTCATCCTCACAACTTTCTGGACAGATAGATTATATTACCATTCCCATTTTACAGATAAGGAAACCGAGGCTCTGGGATCTGAAAGGCTGTCATATAGACAAAAAAACCCAAAAACCTTATTTTGTATTGCTGTTTTTGGTCATGGACTTTTTCAGGCTCAGAAGTTTTAGATCTTCTTTGCAGAAAAATCCTGCATATAATTTCAAAAGTTGGAGGGTGATTAGCAAAAGGAGGACTCATTAGAAACAGGCTCAAGAAAGCAGTTGTCACCTTAGTGTAAACAAGGCCTTGCTAGTAGTAACAGGAGGGATACTCTTTCCTGTCACTGAAGTGGCCAGTTGAAATGTGGCTGGTCTGTCAGGAGTGCTGTTGAGATACTAAAATGGGCTGGAGGACAGTGGATGGTTGACCCCTTTGCTATACGACTGTGGAGCTAAATGAGGACTTTTTCTTGATGGCAAAACACAAGTTTAAAAAAACGGTTAGTATTTACCCAGACTGTTCTGCTACATCTAAATAATGTTATTTCCTATCTGTATATGATAGCGACCAGGTACTAGAAAACAACCCATCCAAAGGAAAAAGGGAATATCCAATTGTTGATCTTGGCTTGATTAATACTTCGTCATAATAAAAGATTCTTTATCTTTATTCCCCACACTTCTTATTTTAAAATTTCCCTGTGATAAATATCATATACGTCAGATACCTAAAAGATACAGTTTCTGATGTGAATATTTACTAGTTTATAATGCGATGTTAACCTAAAGTTTAACATACAGGATGGGGGGTCAGAGACATAAGAGAAACTGTTCGTCTTTGCCCCTCACTCCTCCTCTAGTGGCTGAAGGATTCATTTGCATTATTTTCTCTCAAGATTCAGCCGCCCACGGCTCCAAAGAGTACAAGAGCTAATACTTTGCTCATCTCATCATATGCCACTCAGAGCACAAGCCTGACAGCTTGGCATACGCATAAAATGTTCACAGGCAAACCTATTACCTGAAGATCTTCATTCACTCTTCAGGTGGGGAGGAGGGTGAACCTGCGGCTGATCATGAAGTATCTATCTTCCTTTTGAGAGCTCAGAACAAATGGAAGGGGCGAAGCTTACTCGCCTCAGTTAGGGGGCTTAGCTGTCAGGCTCGATCCTGACAGCTGGCGAGAGCGAGAGCTTTAATGAAAGCCTGCTGTAACTCGCGGGTCTCTCCCACTAGAAAATCAGAAGGGCACAACTGATGAGCCAAGACGGACAGACACCTGCCCGGTAGCCCGCCTCCCAGATGTCCACTTACACCTAATCGCTGGGGCAGCTGCGTGGCCATCGCGGGTGTGGACGCTATGGGGCCCGGGGTGTCCGGCGCGCGGCGGGCCATATGTCCCCGCGGTCCCCGCGGATCCGGAGCGCGGGGCTCCTCGGAGGGTCTCGCCGGCGTCGGGGCGCACGGGAGGTCGGGCCGCGCGGGGGCAAAGTGCAGCCGGGCTGCCAGGGCAGTGGCGCCGCCTCCGCGCCACCGCCCCGTTCGTCAGGTGGCCGCGTTTGGAGGACGCCCCGTCCTTCGGCCGCGCTCCCGGCCCCTCCTTCTGCCGCCGCCGCGCCCGCCGCGCGCCCCTCGCGGGTTCGCGCCCCGCACCCGGCCGGCGGAGCCCCGCAGGTGGCGGCCGGGGGACGCGCAGCTCCGGGACACGCCCTCTGCGGGGCGGCGGTGACGTCCGCGGCGCCGGGGCAGGACTGAACTGGGTAGACCCGCGGGTCCCGGCCACTGCACGCACACGCGTCCACCCTCAGTAAGCTATCGGCACTGCCGCCAGCGCCCAGCACAATCCACAACCCGAAAGTTATGAGAGCTCAGCTGGCAAGTCACTTCACGCCCCTGCCACCCCCCCCCCACCCCCGCATCGGGGCCACTGGGCCAGCTCCCCTGACCTCTGTCCGGGCTGGAGGAGGCGCTGCTCTCCAAGGCCACACCCCGGTGCCATGGCCGGGCACTGACCACAAGGCAGGTGAGCTTAGCATCCTGGCCACCGCCTTCCCGCTAATTCTGGCGCTCAGGAGGGTCAGGTCAGGTTCGCCTCAAACCCCACACCTTGCAGTGCTACACCGGAGACTCTGCTCTTCCTAACTAGTTTGCACCGTGAGTATGCAGAGCAAAGGTGGTTGGAGTATTTAAAGGCTTCATCCCCAAATACTCAACATTTTCCAAGCTCGTTTCTCCTGAAGACATCTTGAAAGGCCATTTTCTTACTCTTTAAAGAATCGAGAGCCACTACCACAAACATAGCCTTTATTCTGTCACACTTCCCCACACATTCCGTGTGGTGCCTGCATCTGCCCAGCGTGACTCCCAGCAGTAGTAACGGCCCCAAGAGAACTACAAAAGAACCATTATTTTCATCGTGTTCTACAATGGATGAGTCAATGCAAAATGCAAGCCTGAAGGGACCTTAGTGATAACTTTGCTTGGTTCCTTCACATTACAGATGAGGACAACTAAACAGGAAAACGACTGGAGCTCAAAACCCCACAACCTGTAGACTAACATGAGACTTCAGACTCTCTGAAGGTGCAACAGTGAAGAATAAACCTAGATGACAGAGGAATTGAGAAACAGAAGTTACACAACGTCTGGCTCAGAATCTTTGAGGCTTTATTCAAGCATTATTATTTGTTACTATGCTAAGGTAACTTTTATATACAAATACAGTAGCCCAGAAATGTAAATTTTTGCCATGCTATTTATGATTAGTCGAATTGGAATAAGTACATTCTGACAATCATAGAAAGTGATTATACTTATACTGATTTGTCTGATAAGTATACATTTTAATGTATGCAAATTGATTGTACTTGGATGAAACAAGTTAGTTCTGCATATTTCAGGACACTATGCTAAATAACAATGATCAAAGGCAAGGTGGCATCTTTAGGCCAAATTCTTCACTTATGCTGTTTGCTTCCCCAGTTTTAAGGCTTTGTCAGCCTAGTGCTGGAATCATTCTAAGAGACTTCTGGCTCCATGCTGAGAGATGACTGTCAGTCCTTGATGTGCTCTAGGTGAGAAAGAAACAGAAATGTGCCCAGTTACCAGGGCAGAAGGAAAACCTGGGGGAGGTGTGTATGTGGTGGTGGTGGGGGAGGGGTGCTGGAATCAGTCTCTATCCTCCACCAAAAAAGAACTGCAGGTACATGTACATTACTTTCTTCCACTCAGTTCCAGAACACACTGGATCATTACCAAGTTTTAGCCCCAGCTAGCCTTTAGTCTAAGAACAAAGCAGGTGATAGTGGAGCAAGGTCCTTACCATGCTGAGCTGCTCCACTGGGCCCAGGTCTGACCCTTTCTCTGGCATTCCAGGTCTGGTCAAGCTGGCCAGAAGAGCCCCTGGTTGAGTCTGGTAAGGAGGGGCCTCTGCCACTGCCTGGCTGCCCTGATTGTTGAATACTGGAGGGAGCTGAGCATAGAGATAGAGCCCAGACTCACAGGGACTCACACAGCCACTCTTCAGGACACAACCGTCTCTCCACTCTGCAGGACCTTCTTCCCACCCAGAGTCCCAATTCTGAGCTGAGCCCTATTGTCTAGACTCTGGGAAGAGACTTGGCCTCTCTCCTCAAGATTGCAAGCTGTGCAGTCAAAATGGTACCATGGTAAGACCCCGAGGGGAGATGCCTGGAGGGAACGCAGTGCTACTGGTGTTTGGAAAGGGTGGCTCGCCTCACAGCGATCCCAGCCTGGAACAGGGTGTCAGGGCTTACCATTTCTGTCCTCCTGTCATCCTCTCACCCTGGCTTCAGTAAGGATAGAGAAAGTGGGAACCTAGAACTCCTCAAACTGGTGGTGGCAGAAACTAAATGTAGGAATCTGAATGAATGCAAATTTTAAAAAGCAAGGAAGAGCCAGACACAGGTGCCTCAAGCCTATAATCCTAGCTCCATGGGAGGCTGAGATAGGGAGTATCACACTCCAGGTCCAATTGGGCAAAAAGCAAGAGCCTATCTCCAGAATAACCAGAGCAAAAAGACTGAGGCATAGCTGAAGTGGTGGAACACCTGCCTAGCCTAGCAAGTCAGTACCAAAAAACCTCAACAACAACAGAAAAAAAAAAAAACCGAATGAAGAGAGAAAGGAGGAAGGACACCAGAGATGGCCTAATGGGAGTGTGGTTAGGGTGAAGGTACCTGCAATATAACCAGCTTTTAATGGGCTTTCTCTTTGCCTGAAGGCCATGGAAAGTAAAAATGATAAAATAGTAATTACAAAATACTAAAAATTGAATATAAGCAATCAGACCCCAGAGACCATGCTTTTGACAAGAGCAAGCTTGAGAGCCACATGCCAAGTTAACCTGCAGTGAACAGAATCAAATCATTTCACTCGTGAAGAATTCCCACTTCCACTCCTATTTCCAGCTTCAGAGAGATCACAGAGAGGGAGGGAGGCAACACCAGTTTCCCTAAATACACAGCAGTCCAGTCAGAACTTGCACCTCTGCAGGAATCAAGGGAGGCTTTGCCAGCTAGGCAGAAGGAACAGCTCTCAAGAACTCTGAGTAGTGAAATAAGGAGAGCCTGTCTGAGGGATCTGTGTCCTGGGGCTCACCTCTCTGCCATGGGGCTCTTCCTAGTGTATTGGAGAGCCAAAGGTGGCAGGACAGGATAGGTAGACGGATTCATCTGTGAATGTTCCTTCATATGGAGGCTAAAGCACATCCATTTGTTCAAGAGAGGTATGAAGACCACAGGAAAGCTTTATAAAGAAGAGACAATGGCTTGAATCACCTACCCTCCTCACTCCCACTCAGAAAATTTATCAGGTTCTGGAAAAGATGACAAAGCCAACTGGGAAAAGAGAGGAAAATTTAAATGCTAACAAAAAAAATCTTACTGAGGAGGTGAAAAATACTATTATGGTACCTGAAAACTAATTTTGAGATTCTTACTGCTCATTTCTCATGTAATAGTGAACTTGTCTAGGAAAAAACACTTTAGCGGTTATTGAAAAACATGGCTACTCCTACATATATTTTTCACTGCTCCAGGTTTCATGTGCTGTCTTTTATATATTCAGGCTAAAATGGTCTCTTTAAAATAGTGAACTTGCATGTGCTGAGATTTTACTTAGATTTGGCTGAGAGACTCATATATCTTTTTTGAGTAGGCATCAGACACATTTTCATGTCAGACTCTAGGCTAGAGTTTTTAGGATTAAAAAGCTTTAAAAATTCAGAAGCAGAAATGGCATATTGATTCTTTAACACTCTCTGTAGCCCAGGACACCTCAGGATTTTCTTGATGAAGAGCTAGCGGTGGGTGTGGAAGTGCCTTTCATCCTTTCTTCCTAGAAACTTTTTCTGCAATGCTCATACTACTCCCATTTGTTCCTGTGCTCAAGCAGGCTTCAAATCCTTGCTGTAAACTTTAATCACACTGTTGTGAAAGACCTCTTCTTCTTAACATGTTCCCTAAATCAAAGACCAAATCATCAGATTATCTGACATTAAGATGGGGACAGTTATTTTTCTAAACAGTATGGATATACTTAACATTGTTAAGAAAGAAACAAATATTGCAATAATCATTTCCCTAAAATTTAATCCAAACATCATGTTGTATTGCATGTTTTGTTTTTTATTTAGGACATATGTATCTTTCATTGTGACTCACTTTCCATTTCTCACTGCTCCAGTTGTTAAAAACAATCTGTCCTGATCTCATCAAAACAGTTCGCTTTCCCCTTGGAATTCTGGATTTTTCACATACCTGTTTATTAGCTAATAATTTTTAAATTAAGACTAATATTTGACAAACATATCTTGAAATGGGGCATAGCTATCTAATTAAAGACATTAGGGGCAAATGGAATTCAACAACACATCAAAAAGATCATTCACCACAACCAAGTAGGCTTCATCCCAGGAATGCAGGGGTGGTTCAACATACGAAAATCAATAAACATAATAAACCACATTAACAGAAGCAAAGACAAAAACCACTTGATCATCCCAATAGATGCAGAAAAAGCCTTTGATAAGATCCAACACCACTTCATGATAAAAACTCTAAGAAAACTAGGAATAGAAGGAAAGTACCTCAACATTATAAAAGCTATATATGACAAACCTACAGCCAGCGTTATACTTAATGGTGAAAAATTGAAACTATTCCTTCTAAAATCAGGAACTAGACAAGGATGCCCACTATCTCCACTCCTATTCAACATAGTACTGGAATTCCTAACCAGAGCAATTAGGCAAGAAGAAGGAATAAAAGGAATACAAATAGGTAAAGAAACTGTCAAAATATCCCTATGTGCAGATGATATGATCCTATACCTTAAAGACCCAAAAAACTCTACTCAAAAGCTCCAAGACACCATCAATAGCTATAGCAAGGTAGCAGGATATAAAATCAACATAGAAAAATCATTAGCATTTCTATACACTAATAATGAACAAACTGAGAAAGAATATATGAAAACAACTCCATTTACAATAGCCTCAAAAAAAATCAAATAAGGGAGGGGGTGGGGGCAGGGGGGAGAAATGACCCAAGCCTTGTATGCACATATGAATAAAAAA